GGGACCTGAACTTATTAATTATAGCTGCTAGGTAGGCACTCTCTCCTAATGTTGTCTGCCTTGAATATTAAGCTCCTGCTAACTAACTGAAGATTGGAATCAAGGTAAGACAAGATACAGAGCTGCTTCAAACTAAAATTAGCAACAGGGTTCTCCTTATCTAATGCAGAGCTTGGATCAGTAAACCCCCAGGACCGTCTGTCACTGGAATGAAGTTGTATAACAGAACAGTGGATCTTTCTTGTTTAATCAAAACCTTTATTTATCCCTGTTGCTTTCCAAGGATCTTCTGAATCTCAATTCTCAAACACTGAGGTCTCTCTACTTTTCATGACTATAATCCCACAACACTCTTCCAACTGTGGATTACTCTGGTGTGTTCAGACTAAATTTCATAATACGTATCATAATATATATGACCAAAAATATACTATATAGACCATCATAATATATAGACCAAAAAAAAAGAGTCTTTGCAAATAAAAGTGATTATTGGCAGAGTTTCTTTGGGAAGGAAAAGGAAAGGAAGCAAAAGGAAGGGAAGGGAAGAGAATGAGTTTGGTAAGAATCAGGGAAGTTTATTCCACCTCCTCTTAAAGTAAGAGTTCAGCAAATACTCTGCTCTGGTCTAAAATATTAATTATTTTCACAAGATCAGTAACTGTTGTGTCTGCTGTAGTGGACAAGAGAGACCTTGAAAACAAAACAAGGCAGAAGGGGGCCCACCAAAGTGTATGGACGCACATAAGGAGGTGGTGAGAGGACAGCATATGGCAGGAGCTCTCACCTTTTCTGGGAAATAAGCATAACTGGGTTCCTCCCCGTGCCTGTGCCCTAAAATGCCTTTACACTGAGGCACACAGCAAAAGGTACAAAGAGGAGAAATTAGAGGTATGTGTGCAGTCGCAGGGCTACAAGCTTATTGGGATCACAGGACATGGTGGGATGGCTCACATGACTGCAGTGCTGTCATGGCTGGACGCAAGCTCTTTAGGAAAGGCAGGCTCAGCAGCGAGGAGGGGGAATTGTCCTGTATGTGAGAGAGCAGCTGGACTGCCTTGGGACCAATGAAAAGCCAGCTGAGTGCTTATGGGCCAGGATTAGTAGGCAGCCCAATACTAGCAACACTATGGTGGGTGTATAAGAAGTAGATGAGGACAGATAACTGGAAGAAACCTCATGTTTGCAGGCCCAGGTACTCCTGTGGGATTTGAACCACCCCAATATCTGCTGGCAGGGCAATGCAGCAGGGCACAAGTAATTCAGGACGTTTCTGGAACGTGTTGACAACAACTTCCTGGCTCAGGTAGTCAAGGAGCTGACAAGGTGAGATGCTCTGCTGGACCTCATACTTACAGACAAAGAAGAACTGGTGGGGCATGTGAAGGTCAGGGGCAGCCTTGGCAGCACCAACCATGAGATGATGGTGTTCAGGATGATGACAGAAGGGAAAAAACCAAAAGGTAGGATCACATCCCTGGACTTCAGGAGAGCAGACTTTGGCCTGCTCAGGGACCTGCTTGGAAGAATCCTATGGGAAACCACCCTGGAGAGAAGAGGGTCCCAGGATAGCTGGTTGATTTTCAAGGATCACCTTCTCTGAATTCAGGAACTGTCCATCCCCACATGCATGAAATCAAGTAAAATTGGTAAAAGGCCTACATGGATGAACAAAGAACTCCTGAATAAACGTAGAGCTAAAAAGGAAGTGTACCAGAGGTGGAAGCAGGGAGGGACAGGTGACCCAGGAAGGATATAAAGACACTATGTGAACATGCAGGGATCGGGATTAGGAAAGCCAAAGCTCACCAGGAGTTGAATCTGGCTAAGGACATGAAGGGGAACAAGAAGGGCTTCTACAAACCTATCAGCAGCAAAAGGAAGAGTAGGGAAAACGTGGGCCCACCGATGAATGGGAATAGGTACTTGGTGACAAAGGAGAAGGAGAAGGCCAAAGTACTCAGTGCCTTCTTTGCCTTGTTCTTTACTGATAAGACCGGTCTTCAGGTATCCCAGGACCCTGAGACCAGTGAGAAAGTCTGGAGCAAGGAAGATTTACCCTCAGTGGAGGATGAATGGTTTAGGGTGCATTTAAACAACTGGACTTACACAAGTCCATGGGCCCTGGTGGGATGTGTCTGTGAGCACTGAGAGAGCTTGCCCATGTCATTGTAAGGCCACTTTTGATTATCTTTGAAAGGTCATGGTGATCGAGGGAGCTTCTTGAAGAGTGGAAGGAAGCAAATGTCATTCCTATCTTCAATAAGAGCAAGAAGGAGAATCTGGGGAACTACAGCCAGTCAGTCTCAGCTCAATCCCTGGGAATATGACGGAGTAAATAATTCTGGAAGTCGTGTCCGTATATATGAAGGACAAGAAGTTGATTGGGACTACTCAGCATAGATTTACGGAGGGGAAATTATGCTTGACCAACTTGATAGCCTTCTACAATGAAATGACTAGCGTGGTGGATGAGGGAAGAGTAGCTGATATTGTTTATCTTGACTTTAGCAAGGCTTTCAACACTGCTCCCATAACATTCTCATTGTCAGACTGATAAAGTACTGACTAGATTAGTGGAAAGTGAGGTAGATTTAAAACAGGCTGAACTGTCAGGCCCAGAGGGTTGTAATCACAGGCACAAACTCCCTCTGGAGGCCAGTTACTAGTCATGCAGCCCAATGATGGATACTGGGCCAATAGCGTTTAACACCTTCATGAATGACCTGGAGGATGGGACTGAATGCACCCTCAGCGAGCTTGCAGATGATACAAAACTGGGCTGATTTGGTTCCATACATACTGAGAACAAATATTAAGAAATAAAGAAGATTTGAAGAAAGATGCTTTCACAAAAGTAATACTAATCTATATAATACAAAATAAACTATTAAATATTCAAGATCTAAAGCTGGCAATATCTTTTAAATAGATCAAAACAAAAAAAATCACATTTGGAAAGTGTAAACAGATGGAAGCAAATGAATGCCTTAGAAACCAATTTTGTAAAAATTTATTTTGACCAAAAAAGCTTGTTTTTACTAACATCACATTCTGAAACTAATTTCTCTTTGGTTTAAATATGACTTTGTACCTTTGATTCACGTTTGCCCTGTCTCTCGTATCAAGCGATGCTAGGTCATCAGCAATGGATTCCCATGACTTTCTTCAAAGATACAATTTTAAGCTTTAAAGAGATTAGGGAAGTTAGGAAACTATTTTTAGATTAAAAAGCACCATTTTTTTTAAGCTACCATAGAATTATTCAGGTTTCTTTTTAAGACCACGAGAAAAAGTTATATCCATAACTAAAAAAAAGAATGTAGAATATTCTCTGGAACATGATTTTCTAGGTTACCACCTTAAACTTCCATTATTAATCCTCCAGGCACATTAGTACAGAGTTACTTTGACCATCTGCAAATTCTTTCATCATTTGGGGGCTTACATTTGTAATTAAATCAGAGTAACATGTAGATAGCTCTGTCACTCTGTCAAAAGTCTACCAATCAAGAAAGAAAGCAATTGCAAATACTGGAAATATAATTATTTTGATAGCACTAGGCAAATAATTGTTATTTAAATAACTAATAGCTATATTCAAATAAGTTTTCACTCTGTTCAGCAATGAGAAAGGTTAAAAATATCCAAGGTATGGAGACATCAAGAGTGTGAACTCATGCCGCCATCTGGAGCACAGAGACTGTCATTGACAAGCATCTATCCAGCATCAAACTAAAGCTTCAAGCCTACAAAAATGTTCACCTTTGAGCTGCTGTATCTCTGCAGGTGACAAAGTCAGGCCCCCAGAAGTCGTATGTGGTATGAAATGCTCTATGCCAAGGAGACACAATGCATTTTCTAACGTTTCTGCTATCCTTACATACTTGACATTTTAGACATCTAAAAAGTTACAGAATGTCTCTGCTGTTTTGATTCAGCCTTTCATCAGCATTTCACGGCCCCATTATGAGCCTGAAAACGCTTTTGCAGGCTGCTAACCGGAGGGCCCTTAAAACTGTGGACAGCCACACAGCCCACGGCTTGTAAGCCGGTGGGCTAAGGCCGGCTGTGGGGGTTTAGGAGGTCAGTCTCCTCAGGGGCAGGCGAGGAGCGCCAGGTTGGCACAGGAAAGGACGGACATTGACAGCTTCACGCTGTAGCAGTGCCGTACCCACAGCTTTCCTACGCACACTATTGGCACATCTTTATCAAAATCGCTATTAATGCAATCTCATATGTAGACATTCAAGCCAGAAACCGCTGTTCATCTTGAAAGCAGCGCAGCTGTGTCAACAGAAACTGGTACCACCCCAGCTATCTCTCAGCGCGCTGAAGGATGCTGCTGCCGCCCCTGCTCTGCGGGGAGCCCCGCTCTCAGGCCAGAGCTCCCCACCCCGCCGGTTTCACTTCCAACAGCCGTTAACGGCCACTTCGCGCCCCGAAGGCCCCGCCCCCCCGGGGCCCGC